TAGGTTAGGTTAGGTTAGGTTAGGTTAGGTTTTAGGTTAGGTTAGGTTAGGTTAGGTTAGGTTAGGTTAGGTTAGGTTAGGTTAGGTTAGGTTAGGTTAGGTTAGGTTAGGTTAGGTTCTCACTCATAGAAATAATACCAAACTCTCCATCTCAAAAACATCTTCCAAAGAAACCATCATCTTCCAAAAATCTAAAATTTGAATAAAGGAAGTACATAAAAATGGTGAACATACGAGTTTGTTAATGTAATAAACCAATAAGAATACGATATGTATATTACAGTTTTGTGTATTTTCAATGAATGACAGTAGAGTTTGAATGTCAGTATGTATACTGCGAAATACAAATATATCGCTTCACTTTCTCTTTCTTGTGACCTTTACTCAATATCAGTATGGAATATTTTAAAATCTATTTTTCCAATTTTTATTCAGAAAGTAGGAAAAATGGCAAAAATCAGCAGTGAAGAAGAATGGAGTCCCCCCAAATTCTAAAATCTTTCAAATCCCAAGAATACAAACTACTCTAATTCAACTAAAACTGGACGAGTTTCAAAGGAAAATCACATTGAAAGACTGAATTAAGTTAAAGTTTTAATTAAAGAAAATGTACATGAACCTTAGGATAGAATTAGAAGGATAATGGAAATGTTACATTTATTACAATAAATGGACATGACAAGTTTCACATAGACATCTTTTGTGAGTCACTCTTAAAGGCATAAATGATTAGATCTCTAAAACAACTCGGCAAAAGAAAGGCTTAATCATTGCTCCAATTCAACAACAGACAAAACAAAAAAAATAACAAGCAATACATGTGAAAGATAAACAAGAGTACATGGAAACTAAACCTTTTGCAGTTCATCTCATATACAGAAACAACAACATTCTAAAGCAACATTTTAATCCTTAAGATTATTTCTTATGTTCTTTATGATCTGGTATTCTTTCCTAAAATGCTAAATCAGAAGTCAACATATTTTCACCTGTGGCTGATTAATCAACATCAAGAATGTCACATCTGTCACGATTAAGAAGCAGAAAGTCCACAAATAACTGTTATATTTAGCATCAACATCTCCATTAATTTACCCCCCTCCCACCTCACAATTCCTTCCTTTGGATAGGCAGGATATCAACCACAAGCCAATAGTATTATTCACCAGCAGTCCCAAGATCTAATGTGAAAATATCACTGTTTAGCTGATTGTACAGTACCACCTGTGACAATGGGTTAGAGAAGTTTTCTGCTCATTTTGACAGTACTAGTTACCATTTGGCATGTGTGCAACCACATACTTCAAAACAGACTCTTACTAAATATGCCAGTAAACCAACTTGGGGGTAATGTCTTAATATCTTTATGCCCAGTTGTTATACTGAGCAACACTGACCTTTTTTTTTAACTGCTCTAAGTGACTAGTGGTACTAATTCTAAGATTTTTTAAAATTAAAATCTGTAGCAAAGAAGAAAATTATATTGGAAATGCCCCTTTTTAAATAATACTCTCTACTTTTGTACCTTCCCAGGTTTAAGACGAGATATTAGAAGACCCATATGTATGTCTAATCATCTCTTACTAATTAATACAGTCTTGAAGAGATATTACAAGTCGTCAATTTACATAGAAAAGAATACTATGAAAAATATAGTCCTTTTGTTATCTATTTTCATCACAGTTTTGGAATTGGGCAAAGGCTGAACACCATATCAGGTCACTTGATAAATGCTGTAGAAGTTACTATCTACAAAACTACTGAATTCTTTGTTAACCAGTTTTTCAGTTTTCTAAGTGTGTGTTATAGGTACCTAAATGCTTCAAAGTTTTACGCTTCTTAAAATCTAACAATTAATATTGTTTTTAATGAAGAGATAATTAAAAAGTTTGGGCAGTATGCGATCTAATCCACACGATTTTGCCAACTACAAAGTTCTGTTAATCTAAGATATCTATATAAAAATGCAGTCTATTTCTACATGCTTTTCTCAGTATGAAAAATTAATTTCTGAAGCAAATTTCTTCTTTCAAAAATAATTAGTTTGTAATATGGAATGAAATGAAATTCAAATGCTAAACCCTAACCTATTTTTGAACTATCACAGTATTAAGTATATAAACCAAATGCTTGTTACAGTGAATCTTTGTTTTGGTATAACAATGGCATATAAAGAGAAGTGCTTTACATTATTAGCAATAAAGCCATTATAAGGACTAAATACTATGCATCAGATACTCATGATTTTGGCGGATGCATCTTATCACCACTGGTCTAAAGCCTTCCATTAATTTCGACTTCCGGAAGGCAATGAGTACCATGATTAGAGTAATATAAATGATAATGAAGACAACACTAATAATAATAATAATAATAATAATAATAATAACAACAATATCAATAATAATCAAGATTATAAGGCTGACAATCATAACAATAATAAAATTAATAATCATTAATAAAGAAAAAATAATAAAGAGATAAATGATAATGATAATAATAACACCATCACAAATATGCAGGCACTACGTAACACTGCAGTCAGCTTACTTAGTGTTACAAAATCTTTAACCAACACTAGTATCGGATCAGTTCTTTAGCGAGTCGCACGCTGGTTGTTGGCAAGGTCGGATATCTTGTTCTCGGCCAATGACAGCCTTTGCTCGAGGATGACAACAGTTTGGGTTAAGGTGTCAAGTTGGGTGATGATGTGCTGGAGAGAGCTCTGCATCTGCTGCAGGGTGGCTGCATTGTCATCCTGGCTGCCTCCTCCATTTTTCTGAAGGGAGAATGATATTGCTATATTTTTCATCTCTAAAAATGACACATACTCAAAAAGTGAATCCTCTCGTGGAGCAAGTTATCAGATACATATTTGCCTGAATGAGAATTAAGATGTAACTTATCACAAAATAATCACTTCACTCAACATTATAATGCCTTATGTACTACACTTGACTCAGTACAATCAGGATACCACAAAGGAAGCAAAGAAAGATTCATTGCCTCTGAACCTGTCCAATGACTATGGATAACTGACTTGAAAATTTCAGGCCAAGAAAAGTAAATGTGCTTAATCCTTTGACAGTCATCAATGTATAGGGATTACAACTAACTAAATCAAGATTTGAATTGCCTCAAACCATCTATATAAAATAATATAAAATAATATAAATAACATTTTCTGTAATAATACCCTCAATGGAGATATAACCCCTTAAAATGTGAATCTAATTGGCCTATTCTTGAAACTAAATTCAATTTTCTTTTATAGACCATCTCCAAATCAAATTCAACTGATCCTATTTCTTAGAACCCATACTTTTAAATATAGAATCTAACATTGAAAAAGTTTTGCCTAAGGTATCAATCGGGTCCTTCCATACTGGGATATATGCATCAATGGTGGCCTTGCCTGCCCATTCAATATACACTAAAATATTTACTCAATCTCACAATAACAGAAGCTTGGCTCCTTGGCTGCTCAAATTACTTTTGATAGCGGAGAATTCCTGTAATACTAAATAATTACTTTCACCTAAACACCTCATACTGCTGCACTAGACTAAATAACAAGGAATTATTAACCACAGTAAGAGAAATAAAAGAAGAAAGAAAGAAACAAAGAAGAAGCAAAAGCAGAAAGAAAAGAAGAAAAGGAAAAAAGAAGAAAGACAGGCTTTAGTGCTTCCAATGATCAAACCACCATTAATACACATAAGAGAAAAAAGAAGAAAAGAACAACAAAGAAAAGCAGAAAGAAAAGAAGAAAAGGAAAAAAGAATAATAAGACAAAAAGGGAGAAAGTAAAATCTCTTTATCAGTAATGCATCTTTCATACCCACAAACTGCCAGGAAGCTCTCACCTGGTTCCCATTAACGTCGCTGCTATGGGATCTCCCTTTCGCTCCACCACGACTCTCAACAGTAGTAACTTCTTCCTCTTCTGACGAATCATCAGGCACTGAGACAGTCACATCTAGGGGCTGCCTGTGAGACACGTCCTGTGTCACATCCAGGCTCTCACACTGATCCACAGGCTCGAAGTTGGTCTTCCATACCATCACCTGTGCAGGTAAAGCAGGTCTTTATAGTATGGTTTATCATTATTAATATCATTATCATTATTATCAAAAAGAAAAAGATACACAGTCCCTCTTCATGAAAAATCTTGAATGGAAATCAGGGATCAAACTTAATAGGATATGAAACAAATTTTAAGTTTCTGAATGTAGAAATTAAACATAAATGTTCAGACACAAATACATGCATTCCAGAGACACACACACACAAACATAGAAACCAGACACACAAAAATACAAATAAAGAACTATGCTAGATCAATTCTTTTACTTCCCCTCTGTAAGTATAAGCACAAACAGCAATATCCACACACTAAAATAAATACTAAATAGATACACACTAAGTCAATCAAATAAAATAAAACAAATTCATAAAATATACACTGCTATACCTGCTTGTCGTTTCCACCAGAAGCAAAATACTCTCCGTTGCTAGCAAAGCCGCAGCAAGTGACAGGGCCTTGGTGTCCGTGCAGGGTATAGATGGGACGTCCCTCAAGCAGGTCAAGCAGCTTCAGTGTACCATCTGCAGAGCTGGTTAGGAGAAGGTGTCCTGGCAATGGACAACAAGGAAAGATCAATTAGAATGTTTAAATTGCAGGAAATGGGAGAAAAAGAAGAAGAAGAAGAAGAAAAGTTTCACAGTACTTATTCTTTATTCATTCATTATTCATAATTATTATTTTCCATTTCGTTCAATTTAAACTTTTAAGGAAATGTTAAAAGTACAACTTTCCTGGCCATCTAAGTTTCCCAATTTCTGACAACACACACATACTTATCTCACTCTAATCTACAAAAAGCCTATATTCTAGCATGCAAAACAGGTGACAGAATAAAAATATCATTACATAAGCTACTGATGTTACAAAGGTAGCTTCAGCCTACAATAAAAAAGATAATAACTATAATTCTCTTTTGTAAAATATTGTATTCAAAAGTCAGCAATATGACCATCATACCTTTAGACTTAATTAACATGAAAAATTAAATACAAGAAGGTACAAATACCCACCAGATGGATGGAATGAGAGATCATGTACCGGACCAGAGTGGGCAACATAGTGCTGTAACAGTTTCCTTGTACGGATGTCATAAATCTGTACAAAAATAAGTAAGTTATATATCACAAAACATTTTTTTTTTTCCTTCTTTAATCTGACATCATGCTTTTTTATTTAAAGCTAACATCATTTGAATCATATCTATCAGTAATAAAAATGACAAAGAAAAAAAGAAGAGAGAAGAAAATGAAAAAAATAGAAAGAAATGAACATGCGAGAAATCCTGCAAACTTACTCTGACTGAGCTGTCTGAACCAGCAGTTGCAATGCAAGTTCCTGAGGGATGGAAAGCAACACGTGTCGTTGAGCCTTTGAGCTCAGGGAAAGTGTGAAGTGTGCTTGCTGACTGGACATCGTGAAGCTTGACAGTCTTATCATCTGCGCAAGACACAAGCATTCGACCATCAGGAGAGAACCGAACACAGCGCACCTGGATGGAAAGAATTAGATATAAGTTGTCATTGGTGATAATCCTGTTTCAGTGAAAACAAAACAACAGTGGACTCAATGTAAACTAAGATCATTAGTATGTGCTGCAGCTTTCGATTCTAAAATGAAAAATTAACTTTTATATCAAAGTAACAACTTTATGTATATACATCTTTAAGAAAATCATTAATATATAATCCCTACTCAATAACAAGAAAAAATACTTTGACAGGCACATCTTGTTCATAGAAACACTACAACATACTCAAAGTGTATGATCTAGCAGATTGCAAGATAAAAAAAATTTACCCTTTCAAATACAGAAAAATGTTTTATGGCCATTTCATCAAGAAAATAATTGAGAACCTTGGTTACTTACCCAGTTTGTATGAGTTGGCAATGAGCACTCAAACTTGTGGTTGTGGACTTTCCAAATCTTGATAGTCTTGTCATCTGAGCCGGTCACCAATCTCTGGCCATCGGGGGAGAAACTAACAGACCTTACACCTGCATGGTGTGCACGGAACTCTGTCGAGTCACCTGTAAGAAGATAGGTCTTGCTGTAATCTAAAACTTTCAGTGGGGAAAGAAAGCCTTTTAGTATTTCTTGAATTGCACACAGACTGTCACAATAAAGAAATGTGTCATAGAACTAAACATCAATAACTTTTAATGTAGTTTTGAGACAGATAGCACCTTGACAAGAAATAATACATGGTGTATAAGAACTTTCTTCAGGTAACCATACCGCAAGCCAAATCAAGAGGATTATACTAGCAACAATGCTTTTTACACTTATAAATACCTCTAATGTTTGTGACCCAAAGCCTAACAGTACGATCCCGCGAGGCTGAGGCCATTAAGTTTCCACTCGGCGAAAAGCAGACATCGTAAACTGAGTCAGAGTGACCTACAAATCTGTGAAGGAAAACCATATAAAATCTGTATAGTGTTTCCCTTCTGAAACTTTTTCATATCATGAACAAAAATATAATCTTTTAAAAAACGTTTTTCTTTCATTCTCATTACTTCCTACAATAAGGAATGAAATGAAGCTGCAAAACGATCACAATTCTTTTTACATAAATTAAAGTTACACAACAACTCAAACTCCCAAATTCCTTTATCTTTAAAAAACATTATTCTCAGAAAGGATTATACATAAAAATCAAAAGCAGTCCAACCTGTATGCTCGAATTTGTTGCTTGAAGTTCCAGACCATGACTGTGTGGTCCAGGGAAGAGGACACCAGCTGCTTGCCATTTGGGCTGAAGTCGAGAGCCGTGACCACATCCCTGTGTCCTCGGAAATGTCTCTCTAGGGTAGGGTCTTCGCTACTCATTTTGTATTATTTCCTTTAAGAGAGACAGCAAAATCAGGTTGTTTTATATAAGATACTGAGATATCTTTAAAAATATGAAATCAATGCAGTGTGTCTTCGTACTGTCGGTAATTTGCCCTAAGATATAGTTATTTTCAACTATTTACAACTTGTATATTATTGTTACAAGCATCTCCTGTAACTAGTGCAAGATTTTAGTGGACTGAATGAATATATCAACATAAAGCTTAACAAAATGAGAATTTCTGTCCTAAATATGCACCAGTCAAATTCAGATGACTGAAATTATATAAACATTATCGTGAAAAATATTAAATTATTGTTTCATGCCAAATTCAGACTGCTGTAATAGAAAAGTGAAAAGCAACATTTAGGGATACCTATATATATATATATGTGTGTGTGTGTGTGTGTGTGTGTGTGTGTGTGTGTGTGTGTGTGTGTGTGTGTGTGTGTGTGTGTGTGTGTGTGTGTGTGTGTGTGTGTGTGTGTGTGTGTGTGTGTGTGTGTGTGTGTGTGTGTGTGTGTGTGTGTGTGTGTGTGTGTGTGTGTGTGGTGTGTGTGTGTGTGTGTGTGTGTGTGTGTGTGTGTGTGTGTGTGTGTGTGTGTGTGTGTATGTGTGTGTGTGTGTGTGTGTGTGTGTGTGTGTGTGTGTGTGTGTGTGTGTGTGTGTGTGTGTGTGTGTGTGTGTGTGTGTGTGTGTTGTGTGTGTGTGTGTGTGTGTGTGTGTGTGTGTGTGTGTGTGTGTGTGTGTGTGTGTGTGTGTGTGTGTGTGTGTGTGTGTGTGTGTGTGTGTGTGTGTTTGTGTGTGTGTGTGTGTGTGTGTGTGTGTGTGTGTGTGTGTGTGTGTGTGTGTGTGTGTGTGTGTGTGTGTGTGTGTGTGTGTGTGTGTGTGTGTGTGTGTGTGTGTGTGTGTGTGTGTGTGTATACATATATATATATATATATATATATATGGATATAGGAAAAAAAAAACAAAAAAAAACAATACAACTCAAAATAATATATGTTACACAAAGAAAATCAATAACATAGTGTCAAGGTAAATACATTAAGCTCATTGCAAAACCTTTCACATCAGCCAACACACACACACAAACACACAGACACGCAAACTTATAAATAAATAATAGCTAATAATAAATAAATAATAATAATAATATAATAATAATAATAATAAAAATTAAATAAATAAATAAAAAATAAAGTACAGTAAATAAAGATAAAGCTCTATGAAATGAAAGACAAAAGAAGAAAATGACTTGAGAATTCCTTGTAGCAACTTAATTAATTAATCAATTGTTTATTTTGCTATTATCATTCATTCATCAATTATCACTTATTCACTTGTACCATAAAACCATAAAAACAGATAATAGGCGGTATAATTATTGGACAGAAAGATAACTGAGGTAGAACAGATCTCCTTTGCCGCAGTTGTTTTCATATATCTATAGAAGCACAATAAACAGACAAGCCACAGTTTGACTGGTGTCACATGAGCCTGTCACAGCAAACCCTAAATTATTATTGTTATTATTATTAACTCTAGCCATCTTTTTCAGTGACAATTAGGGAGTAGCATGATGCACCACGACCCTCAAAGCTGTCTTGTGATCTGAGGCAAGACACGTTGTTAAGCTCTGCCCATTTCTGTGACATAATGGGAATGGCTGTGGTTGATGGTTGATGGTATATGTTTTAGTATATTGGTTACTTTTTCAACCAGTACAAAGTATTTTGGAATATAATATCCTAGATGGCTCTTGATACCTTATGGTGGATTGTGTTGTGTTATAGATATGCAGTATAAGTACAAATATGCATGACATATCTGAAGTTCTGGATGTGGCAACTTGATAAATATTTACCAATTGCTCGACTCCTGTCATGTGAGAGGTGTTGCTTTTGTTTTTACCGCTGGAAAACACGGCATTTATCAGATTTTGACGCAACTCTAAAATTAGTTATTATCACACAACTTTATCCCAACAACTCAAAACATTAATAATTTTTTGCAACTTTAACTTTACATGAACAGCAGCGGGATATACGTTTCAGAGGACACCAATGCCTTCAGGGCTTGGTTCATAGTGACTGGCAGAGACTTCACGACCATTGTTACACCAGCAAATTCAAGCAGACTGCTATCACATGTATTTTGGCATGATAGAATTTGTACGTCTCCCTGGCAATTCTTCACCAAATAAGAAAGTAGCGTAAACTTTATCCTGACTGAAAACACAAGGTAGAGGTTGGCTGGCCGCTGCCTGACTGAATGCCAGAAGGAAAAGCATGGAGACCATTGCAATTACTTGACAATGAGTCAATATATAAGGGACTCCAGAGAATAGTCTTTCCATTACATATCACTGTATGTCTTAATAGGATTTGGACATAACAAAGCCGATGTTATTATCATGAAAAAAACATGTATGGAAGTTGGTTATTGAATATATTGCAATGGAGACTGCTGGTCATATTTGTTATGCTAATGTCAGTCATTATATGTTTTAGAACAACTCTGCCATGCTTATACAACATGTAATAGTAAATACAGAAATTTCATTACTAAATCTGTATTGATTTTGTCTTTATGTTTGATTCTAACCACAGATAATACACAGAAAACCAGTGACCGTTTTCGAATTCGTAAAAATTACACAATACAGTAACCTAACGACATTTTCTTATTACAACTGATAAAACCTAAAGAAAATCTCTTCAAGCCTCTCACGGTTTTTAAGTATATCAACAAAATAAAACTAAAAATCAGGCCAAACTCGGCAAAAACATTTCGAAAAATTCAAACCTTCTGACCACCTTCGGAAAACCCAACGCCCAAATCCCTCGTTTTCACCAATAAAATACCAAAACAAATTAATAAAAATGATTCAACACAATCCCCCTCACAAGTAAATCCCAATATTTAGAGAAATATCCTCAAGAAACAGACCAAAACCTACTCAAATGAAGAAGAAATTCGCGGTCTGTCCTCGTGCGTCCGCCGAGCCTTTTGTTTATGTTTACAAATTCGAATTTCCCGCCACGTGCTTGAGGCCGCGGCGGGGAATTCAAACTGCCGGGGAAGAGTGATGCAATAATAACGATAATATACAGTACAATGATGATGATGATGATGATGATGATGATGATGATGATGATGATGATGATGATGATGATGATGATGATGATGATGATGATGATGATGATGATAATGATAAATATAATAAGGATGACGGTAATAATGAAGATAAGGATACAAATTAAGATAATAATGATGATGGTGATGATAAAGATGATAATGATGATACTGATAATAATGATGATGTAGGTGATAATGATGGTGATGATGATAAGGATAGAATTAACATAATAATGATGATGTAAGAGTGACGGTGATGAAGATGAAAATGAAAATGATGAAAATGATGATGGTGAAGATTAAATGAAAACGATAATGAAGGTGGTGATGATGATAGTGATGAAAATGAAAAAGAATTATGATAATGAGGATGTTAATGGCGGCAAATATGGTAATTGTCATGATCCTCTAGACCAGTGTTGTCCAAATTGGGGTCATAAGGGTACGTGAATAACAGGGACACACAGCACACACACACACACACACACACACACACACACACACACACACACACACACACACACACACAACACGCACGCACACGCACACACACAGAAACATCACATGTTCCACCAATCATCTATTTTATTCGTGTATCCGAATCTATTGACCAACACTCCTGCAATGCAGTCTTTTCATAATTAGTATATAATTCGCATTATCCTTAAATAAAACACTACGTAACAATCCAAGAATGTAATAAAGGGTACAATAGGCGAAAATGTTTGAACAATACGGCTCTAGACAATAAGAAAGAAAAGATATGAAAAAGAAACTTAATCTGACTGCTCTACCGTATTATGACAATAACAAGGTCAATAAAAATAATGGTAATAACCACAATGGAAAGGGTGATATTGGGTATATTATCTATATATCTATCTATCTATCTATATCTATATCTATATCTATCTATCTATCTATCTATCTATATCTATCTATCTATATCTATCATCTATCTATTCACTATCTATCTATCTATCTATCTATCTATCTATATATCTATCTATCTATCTATATATATATATATATGTATGCATGTATATATATATTGGTACCACTAGTATAGAGAAATGTGTTTAAGAAATTAAAATACCTGCGATTAATCATTGGTTTGTTAATAGCACATCGAATTAACGATCTGTTCTTTTCTCATATTCTTCTTATTATTCACAAGTGAATGAATAAGTTTTTTTTTCTATGATATAACAGCATATTATTTTTTCATAATTATCGAGATTCGAGACTGGGAAATATAACGTATTGAAATTTACCCTAAAACTTGCATGCTAGTAGTGGCGAGAGGAAGAAGAAGCGAAATGGTAAATAGGAACACTAGAATAAACAAAAAACAAGAAAACAGCAAGATAAAGATATCGGGGAAGGACGTAGAAACAGATGCAAAACAAACAAAAGGAAAATAACCTCCTGTCCCCTCAGAATTTCCTCATTTCTCTCTCCTCTCCCTTTTTCATTATTATGCTCTTCGATTCCCCTGTTTCTTTCCTCTCTCTCTCTCTCTCTCTCTCTCTCTCTCTCTCTCTCTCTCTCTCTCTCTCTCTCTCTCTCTCTCTCTCTCTCTCTCTCTCCTCTCAGATCTTAGCTATTGCTGACCAAGCTTTCGTTGTGTAAACCTTTTGAATTGTTGAAATGATTCTAAAAGAGATGACAGTAAAAACACAGTTGCAATGAATCTCTGATATAATCCTGCCATATTTATATTTTAATTTCAATCTTGTTCCGCTAATAAAAAGGGTTTTTATTCAAAGGATCATCCAATCTACATATTACTTACGATTGCCCCCCCAAAAAAATTGGACAAAAGACTTGGGGAATTGAACCCAAGTCCCCCCGCCTGGAAGGCGAGTGCTTTACCATTGGGACATTGCTGCGGATTACAAATTTGCTGTTTGGCATTAATAACGTGCAAGATAGGCCCCCTATAATTTCTGATAAATTCATCATCACAATGGATTACAATGGGTGCCTACGTGATTAGAGAGAGATAGAGTGAGTACTGAAAAGATAGTCGAAACATTCTAACACGTATAATGATAAATAATAAATCTCTCTCTCTCTCTCTCTCTCTCTCTCACGTGAGAGCGTGATTATCACATGAAGAAGGGAAAGAAGAGAGAAACAGTGAGTACTGAGAGATAATGTAAAACATTCTAAAGACGATACAATAATGAAACTAATAAAACTCATCTCTCTCTCTCTCTTTCTCTCTCTCCCTCTCACATGAGAGCGTGATTATCACATGAAGAAGGGAAGGAAGAGAGAAACAGTGAGTACTGAGAGATAATGTAAAACATTCTAAAGACGATACAATAATAAAAACTAATAAAACTCCCCTCTCTAACTCTCTCTCTCTCTCTCACACACACACTCACACACACACACGTGAGAGCGTGATCATTACATGAAGGGGAAGAAGAGAGAAACAGTGAGTAGTGAAAGACAAAACGTGTCAACACGAACATGGAACATATGATTTCAAACGCACAAACTGTCTCACAGACATAGCAGTCACTTAAGGAAAATGCTGACAGTGTTTACTTATCCATCTACTTATCCATCTATATATCTTTCTACCGTTGTTTCTGTCTCCATCGTTTACGTTTTTTTTTCTTTTCTTTTCTTTTCTTTATTTCTTTTTTGTTATTTGTTAGTGTTTATGCGCGTTTTCGTAATTTTGCTGCTAGTCCTCTCACAATCACATGATGGAACTTGTAATATGAGAAACAAAGAATGGGATTTGGAAGTCAAGGACGAACAAGTGATGCAGAAAAAGTGATAAAAAGCAGGATTTCAAGGCGTCCAGCATTCAGCTTTCTAGATGGAATGAGTGTCTCGAAATTGGCAAAGTTTATTTACACTCCTACTGTCGCAAAAAGAGAAAGAAGAGCGAGAAATGTTGTTTGTTTGTGATATTGATAATAATGATAGTAATTGATGATAATTGTAAGGATATTATTAACAATTGTAATTGTAATAATGATAATAATAGTGATAAAAGTAATGAAAATTAAGATAATAATAATGATTAATAATAGTAACAAACAATAATTAAAGCAACATCAACAATGAACTTATTTGCTCATTACTGTTTTGACTTTAAGGATAGTTACTAAGCAGTGTATTGTATGTTTGTTTCTGTATAAAACGGTACTGTATTAACACACGTATTACACACCTATTATCGGAAAAAGGAAAAAGGATCAGTATTTCTATATTCTTTTATTCCAAAAACATCTCTTTCCCTAAAATATCCAGAAGTGATACAACCAGTTTCTTACTTATTTCTGGGGGGAAAAAAAAGCCCCCAGGGAGAGGAAATAAACTTTAATCTTTTGGAAAAGCGTTTTGTAGATTTAAAACATTTCGACTCGTCTTCATGTTTAAGTTAACATTCCCATGTTTAGCGATGGATTCAATAAATGTTCCCATTAATTATTACCGTTTCAAATTCTAAGTCTTTCTAAGATTCTTGTGTTTATATCATTTTTCGCTATTATTTTTCTGTTTAAACAGTGTTTACCACAAGGCGTTAGTCCGTTTTCAAAAATTAAATATATAAATGGATATATAACTTTCTGTAATTATATGTTTTTCTCAATAGCTGTAAATGTTTTAAAAGGAATAATTCGTTTTTTTTTTTTTCGAATGAATATTCAATATTAGTGAATGCATCAGCACATAAAATTCTACTTGAAAAAATAGCTTCATGGGAACTAGAAATAAAAAAAGGGAGAACAATAAAAACAAGAGAACTGAAACGAACCACCTCCTCCTTCTTTCCACCCTCTTTTCCTTCCCCCTTTCACTCTCTTTCCTTCCCTCTTTCCTCTTCCTTTCTCTCCCCCCTTTTCACCTCTTTCTCCCTCCCCTTCACCTCCCTCCCTTCTTCAACCCTTCCCCCTCTTCACCTTCTTCCCTTTTTTTTTCCCCTCTTTTCACCTCTTTCCTTTTCCCCTTTTCACCTCTTTCCTTCCCTCTTTTACCTCTTTTTCCTTCCCCCTTTTCACCTCTTTTCCTTCCCCCTTTTCACCTCTTTCCTTTCCCCCTTTCACCTTTTTCCTTCCCTCTTTCACCTTCTTTTCCTTCCCCTTTCACCTCTGTTCCTTCCCTCTTCACCTCTTTCCTTCCCCCCTTTTCACCTCTTTCCTTCCTCTTTTCACCCTCTTTCCTTCCCCCTTTCACCTCTTTCCTTCCCCCTTTCACCTCTTTCCTTCCTCTTTTCACCTCTTCCTTCCCCTTTCACCTCTCCTTCCCTCTCACCTTCTTCCTTCCACTTCTTTCAACCTCTTCCTTCCCTCTTTCACCTCTTTCCTTCCCCCTTTCACCTCTTTCCTTCCTTCTTCACCTCTTCCTTCCCTTTTCACTCTCTTTCCTTTCCCTCTTTCACCTCCCTTCCCTCCTTCACCTTCTTTCCTTCCCTCTTTTCACCTTCTTTCCTTCCCTCTTTCACCTCTTTCCTTCCCTCTTTCACCTCTTTCCTTCCCTCTTTCACCTCTTTCCTTCCCTCTTTCACCTCTTATCCTTCCCTCTTCCACCTCTTCCTTCCCCCTTTCACTCTTTCCTTCCTTCTTTCACCTTCTTTCCCCTCTTCACCTCTTTCCTTCCCTCTTTTCACCTTCTTTCCTTTCCCCCTTTCACCTCTTTCCTTCCCCCTTTCACCTCTTTCCTTCCCTTCTTTCACCTCTTCCTTCCTCCTTCTTTCACCTCAATTTCCTTCCCCCTTTCACCTCTTCCTTCCCGCTCTTTTTCACCCTCTTTCCTTCCCCCTTGTCACCTCTTTCCTTCCCTCTAGGTCCTCACCTTCTTTACCTTCCCCCTTTCACCTCTTTCCTTCCTCTTTCACTTTTTCCTTCCTCTTTCACCTCTTTCCTCCCCCTTTCACCTCTTTCCTTTCCCTCTTTCACTTCTTTCCTCCCTTTTCACCTTCTTATTCCTTCCCTCTTGTTCACCTCTTTCCCTTCCCTCTTCACCTCTTTCCTTCCCTCTTTCACCTCTTTTCCTTCCCCCTTTCACCTCTTCCTTCCCCTTTCACCTCTTTCCTTCCCCCTTTCACCTCTTTCCTTTCCCTCTTTCAACCTCCTCTTCCTTCCCTCTTTCAACCTCTTTCCTTCCCCCTTCACCTCTTTCCTTCCCCCTTTCACCTTCTTTCCTTCCCCCTTTCACCTCTTTTCTTCTCCTTCTTTCACCTCTTGTCCTTCCCCTCTATTCACCTCTTTCTTCCCCTTTCACCTTCTTTCCTTTCCTCCTTTCACCTCTTTCCTTCCCCCTTTTCACCTCTTTCCTTCCTCTTCACCTCTTTCCCTCCCCTTTCACTCTTTTCCTTCCCTCTATTCACCTCTTTTCCTTTTCCCTCTTTTCACCTCTTTTCCTTCCCTCTTTCACCTCTTCCTTCCCCCATTTCACCTTCTTTCCTTTCCCTCTTTCACCTCTTTTCCTTCCCTCTTTCACCTTCTTTCCTTCCCCCTTTTCAACCTCTTTTCCTTCCCTCTTTTCCACCTCTTCCCTTCCCTCTTCACCTTCTTTCCTTCCCTCTTTCACCTCTTCGCTCCTCTTTCACCTCTTTCCTTCCCCCTTTCACTTCTTTTCCTTTCCCCCTTTCACCTTTCTTTCCTCCCTCTTTCACCTTCTTTCCTTTCACCCTTTCACCTCTTTTCCTTCCCTCTTTCCACTCTTTCCTTCCCTTTCTTCACCTCTTTCCTTCCCTCTTTCAACCTCTTTCCTTCCCTCTTTCACCTCTTTCCTTCCCTCTTTCACCTCTTTCCTTCCCCTTTCACCTCTTTCCTTCCCTCTTTCACCTGCTTTCCTTCCCCCTTTCACCTCTTTCCTTCCCTCTTTTCACCTCTTTACCTTCCCTCTTTTTCACTTCTTTTCCTTCCCTCATTTCACCTCTTCCTTCCCCCTTTCACCTCTTTCCTTCCCTCTTTCACCTCTTTCCTTCCCTCTTTCACCTCTTTCCTTCCCCCCTTTCACCTCTTTCCTTCCCTCTTTCACCTCTTTCCTCCCTTCTTTCCACCTCTTTCCTTCCCTCTTTTCACCTCTTTCCTTCCCTCTTCACCTTCCTTTCCTTTCCCCCTATTACCTCTTTTCCTTCCCCCTTTCACTCTTTCCTTCACCCTCTTTCACCTTCTTTCCTTCCTCTTTCACCTCTTTCCTTCCCTCTTTCACCTCCTTTCCTTCCCTTCTTTTCACCCTCTTCCTTTCTCTTTTCACCTCTTTCCTTCCCTCTTCACCTCTTTCCTTCCCCCTTTCACCTCTTTTCCTTCCCTCTTTCACCTCTTTCTTCCTCTTTCACCTCTTTCTTCCCCCTTTTCACCTCTTTCCTTCCCTCTTTCACCCTCTTTCCTTCCCTCTTCACCTTCTTTCCTTCCCTCCTTTCACCTCTTTCCTTCCCTCTTTTCACCTCTTTCCTTCCCCCTTTCACCTCTTTCCTTCCCCCTTTCACCTCTTTCCTTCCCTCTTTCACCTCTTTCCTTCCCTCTTTCACCTCTTTCCTTCCTCTTTCACCCTCTTTCCTTCCCTCTTTTCACCTCTTTCCTTTCCCTCTTTCACCTCTTTCCTTCCCTTCTTTCACCTCTTCCTTCCCTCTTTCACCTCTTCCTTCCTTCTTCCACCTCTTTCCTTCCCCTTTCACCTCTTTTCCTTTCCCCCTTTTCACCTTCTTTCCTTCCCCCTTTCACCTCTTTTCCTTCCTCTTTTCACCTTCTTTCCTTCCCCCTTTCACCTCTTCCTTCCCCCTTTTCACCTCTTTTCCTTCCCCCTTTCACTCTTTCCTTCCCTCTTTACCTCTTTCCTTCCCCCTTTTCACCTCTCCTTCCCCCTTTCACCTCTTTTCCTTCCCCTTTACCTCTTCCTTCCCCCTATTCCACCTCTTTCCTTCCCTCTCCTTCCCCCTCTTTCCTTTCCCTCTTTGCACCTGTTTCCTTCCCCCTTTCACCTCTTTTCCTCCCCTTTACCTTCTTTTCCTTCCCCTTTCAGCCTCTTTCCTTCCCCTTTCACCTCTTTCCTTCCCCCTTTCACCTCTTTCCTTCCCTCTTCCCTGCGCCGCCTCGATTTTTATCACTTTTTCTGCATCACTTGTTCGTCCTTGACTTCCAAATCCCATTCTTTGTTTCTCATATTACAAGTTCAATCATGTGATTGTCAGAGGACTAGCAGCAAAATTACGAAAACGCGCATAAACACTAACAAATAACAAAGGAAAAAGGAAAAGAAAGAAAAGAAAAGAAAAAAAAAAAAAAAATGATGGAGACAGAAACAACGGTAGAAGCATATATAGATGGATAAGTAGATTGAAATGGAAACAGAAATTGATGCATAAAATTTGCTCGACTCTTGTTCCTCCATTGGGAATTGAAACCCGAGTCTGTCGGCGATAGGATAGGCGACCGTGCTAACCACTACACCAGAAGATCGCTTTCTCATTATAGATACTAAAATTAGGTTTTCATTTTAGGAAGCACTTTTATTATATATGGGAAGCCACTTTTATTATATATGTGTGTAAATATATCTATATATATGTATAAACATACATGTGTGTGTATAAGTTTACACTGAAAATTAGATTAAAGGCTTAAGAATAAATCAAAATTTAAACTTGATGAAGGCAAAACAGACCTTAAAACGCGGAAAAGTATCATAGCAGGTTCTCAACACTGTGCTTCCCCGTTTTCCTTTTAATTCTGCCCATTTTCTCTGATGAGGAGGTTACTGGGTACCAGCCAGGTATCATCATTTACTTTCATTGTTAATATTCTAAGCATTATGATTATAATTATTTCTATAAGCATCATTATCAAAACTATAAATATTAAGCATAGCACCATTACCCTCCTTTTCAATCGTTAATATGCCGCATTATAAGGCACTATCATTCACAAGAAAGAGTAAGGAGAAGAAATCAGAAAAAAGAACAGAATGTTAGATGATGGAAAATGGCAGAGAAGGAAGGAAAATTATTAGGGAATAATTTGCATGTAATTTGGCTTCCAAGGACTAACAACCCGTTTTAAATGTCTGTTTTACTTTTCTCAACTACTGAATACTGTTATCCATGGCCATCTTATCAGTTGCATCATTGCAATCTTAGTATTCCATATTATTTCAAAAGTTAAATTGTAAATAATGGATCGCTGATGTATGTGCCACTCTCTCTCTCTCTCTCTCGTCTGCGGCTCTCTCTCTCTCCTCCTCTTTCTCCTCTCTCTCTCTCTCTCTCTCTTCTTTTTTTTCTCTCTCTTCTAATCTCTCTATATATCTCTGATATCAAAGTGAATATGCTAAACTGAGTATAATTTAAGAGCCTCTCCTTCTTAATTATGTAAACTTTTTTTTTTTTTTTTTTGAAGACCACGCATAAGGCGCCTGGCAACTCCACTCCACTCACCCGCACCCTCCACAATCCTGAGCACGCCTAAGGCCCTGGCAGCTCCACTCCACCTCACCGCCACACTCCACAATCCTGAGGGGCACGCCTAAGGCCCTGGCACCTCCCACTCCACTCCACGCCACGTCCACAATCCTGAGCACTAAGGCCCCTCCTGACCGCAGCCTCCAGCAATGCCTGAGCCCTAAGGCCCTGGCACTCCCACTCCACTCCCAACCGAGTCCACCCTCCACAATCCTGACCCACGCCTAAGGCCCCTGGTCACTCCACTGCCACTCCAACGAGCCACCCTCGCAACAATCCTGAGCACGCCTACACGCGCCTAGCACTCCACTCCACTCCACCGCCACCCCTCTACACCAATCCTGTTAGCACCGCGCTAAGGCCTAGCACTCCACTCCACACCCACCGCACCCTCCACAATCCTGCGCACGCCTAAGGCCCCTAGCACTCCACTCCACTCCAGCCGCCACCGTCTCCACAATCCTGAGCCACGGCCTAAAGGCCCAGTCCACTCCACGTCCAACTCCACGCCACCCTCCACAATCCTGAGCACGCCTAAGGCCCTATCACTGCCACTCCACTCCACCGCGCACCCTCCACAATCCTGAGCACGCCTAAGGCCCTAGCACTCCCACTCCACTCCAACCCACCGTTCTCCACTGCCTGAGCACGGCCATTAAGGCCTAGCACTCCTCCACGCCACCCTCCACAATCCTGAGCACGCCTAGAGGCCCTAGCACTCCCAGCTCCACCTCCACGCCGACCGCTCCCACAATCCTGAGCACAGTCCTAAGGCCCTAGCACTACCACTCCATGCTCCAACAGCCACCTCCCACAATCCTGCAAGCACGCCTCCAAGAGCCCTAGCACTCCACTCCACTCCACCGCCACCCTCCACAATCCTGAGCAGCTGCCTAAGGCCCTAGCACTCCCACTCCACTCCACCGCCACCCCTCCACAATCCTGAGCACGCCTAAAGGCTAGCACTCCACTCCACTCCACCCGCCACCTCTCCACAATCCTGAGCACGCCTAAGGCCCTAGCACTCCACTCTCCACTCGCACCGGGGCCGGCCCACCCTGCCACAATCCTGAGACACGCCTAAGGCCCTAGCACATGCCACTCCACTCCACCTCCACCCTCCACAATCCTGAGCACACCTAAGGCCCTGGCATCCACTCCACTCACTCCACCCTCCACAATCCTGAGCACACCTAAGCCCTAGCGCACTCCACTCCACTCCACCTCCACACAATCCTGAGCACACCTAAGGCCCTAGCCACTCCACTCCACTCCACCTCCTCCACCTCCACAATCCTGAGCACACCTAAGGCCCTGGCACGCCACTCCACTCCACCTCCACCACCCTCCACAATCCTGAGCACACCTAAGGCCTAGCCCACTCCACTCCATCCACCTCCACCCTCCACACATCCTGAGGCACACCTAAGCCCTAGCACTCCACTCCACTCCACCCCACCCTCCACAATTCCTGAGCACGCCTAAGGCCCTGGCACTCACTCCCACTCCACTCCACACAAATCCTGCAGCACACCTAGAGGCCCTGCACCCCTCCACTCCACCTCCACCCTCCACACCAATCCTGAGCAACAACCTAAGGCCTGGCACCCACTCCACTCCACCTCCACCCTCCACACATATCCTGAGCACACCTAAGGCCCTGGCACGCCACTCCACTCCGACCCTCCACCCTCACCCACAATATCCTGAGCACAAACTAAAGCCCTAGCACGCCACTCCACTTCCACTCCACCTCCACGCCTCCACACAATTCCTGGAGCACAACTAAGCCCAATAATCACGCCACTCCATCCACTCCACCTCCACGCTCCACACAATCCTGAACACAAAACTAAGGCCTAGCACGCCAACTCCATCCCACTCCACCTCCACCCTCCACACAATCCTGAGCACACCTAAGGCCCTGGCACGCCACTCTCCACCTCCACCACCACCCTCTCCACACATATCCTGGCACGTCCTAAGGCCTGGCACGCCACTCCGCACTTCCAAACACTCCACCCGCCACAGATCCTGAGCACCCTTAAGGCCCTTTGGCACTCCACTCCACTCCACCACCACCCCCCACCAATCCTGAGCACAACGAAGCCCTGGCACGCCACTCCACGTCACCACCCACCGCTCCACAATCCTGAGCACGCCTAAGGCCCTGGCACGCCACTCGCACGTCCACCTCCACCCCCACAATCCTGAGCACACCTAAGCCCTGGCAGCCTGCCCACTCAACTCCACCCACCACCTCCACACCTGAGCACACCTAAGGCCCATGGCACTCACTCCACTCCACCACCACCCTCCAAATCCTGAGCACACCTAAGGCCCTGCACGCCGCTCCAATCCACTCCACCCCACCCTCCACAATTCCTGAGCACGCTAAGGCCTGGCACGGCCACTCCACTCCACACACCACCTCCACAATCCTGAGCACACCTAAGGCCCTGGCACTCCACTCCACTCCACCACCACCCTCCACAATCCTGAGCACACCTAAGGCCCTGGCACTCCACTCCACTCCACCACCACCCTCCACAATCCTGAGCACGCCTAAGGCCCTGGAGCCACTCCACTCCACCTCGCCATCTGGGCGACTCTACAGCCCACTCCTGAGGCACGCCTAAGCCCTGGCACTACCACTCCACTCCACCTTCTACCCTCCACAATCCTGAGCACACCTAAGGCCCTGGCACGCCACTCCACTCCACACTCCACCCTCCACAATCGAAGCCGCCTAAGGCCTGGCACTCCACTCCATGCAACCCACCCTCCACAATCCTGAGCACAACGAAGGCCCTGGCACGCCACTCCACTCCACCACCACCCTCCACAATCCTGAGCACGCCTAGGGCCCTGGCACGCCACTACCACTCCACCTCCACCCTCCACAATCCTGAGCACGCCTAAGGCCCTGGCACTCCACTCCACTTCCACCACCACCCTCCACAATCCTGAGCACACCTAAGCCCTGCACCTCCACTACCACTCCACCACCACCTTAGTCCAACAATCCTGAGGCACGCCTAAGGCCCCCGCATGGCACGCACACTTCCACTCCACCTCCCCCCCTCCACAATCCTGCAGCACGCCTAAGGCCCCTGGACACTCCACTCCAACTACCCACCTCCACCCTCCACAATCCTGAGCACAACTAAGGCCCTAGCACGCCACTCCCACCCACCTCCACCGTCCTTCAATTCCTGGCACAAGGCACCTAGCACCTTCACTCCACTCCACCTCCACCCATCCACATTCCTGAGGCAAACCTAAGGCCCTATCACGCCACTCCACTCCACCTCCACCGTCCTCAATCCGAGCACAAGGCCCTAGCCAACTCGCATTCCACCCCTCCCACAATCCTGAGCACAACTAAAGGCCCTGCACNCACTCCACTCCACCTCCACCGTCCACAATCCTGAGCCACAACTAAGGCCCTTAGCACTCCACTCCACTCCACCATCCAACCGTCCTTCAATCTGAGCACAAGGCACCTAACACTCCAACTCCACTCCACCCCACCGTCCACAAATCCTGAGCACAAACTAAGGCCCTAGCACATCTCCACTCCACTCCACCTCCACGTCCTTCAATCCTTGAGCACAAGGCACCTTAGCACTCCACTCCACTCCACCCCACCCTCCACAATCCTTGAGCACAACTAAAGGCCCTGAGCACTCCACTCCATCCACTAATCCACCGTCCACAATCCTGAGCACAAGGCCCTAGCACTCCACTCACTCCCACCTCCACCGTCCACCAATCCTGAGCACACTAAGGCCCTAGCAACTCCACTCCACTCCACCCCACCTCCACATCCTGGATGCACAAAGGCCTAGCACTCCACTCCACTCCACCTTCCAACCCGTCCACAATCCTGAAGCACAACTAAGGCCCTAGCACGCACTCCACTCCAACTCCACACTCCACCGTCCCTTCAATCCTGAGCACAAAGGCCACCTAAGCACTCCACTCACTTCCACCTCCACCGTCCACAATCCTGAGCACAAACTAACCTAGGCCTCCACTCCACTCCACTTCCCACCTCCACCGTCCTCAATCCTGAGCACAAGGCCACTAGCACTCCCATTCCACTCCACCTCCACCCTTCCCACAATCCTGAGCAACAACTAAGGCCCTTAAGCACTCACTCCACTCCACCTCCTACCGTCCATTCCAATCCTGAGCACAAGGCCCTAGCACTCCACTCCACTCCACCTCCACCCTCCACAATCCTGAGCACACCTAAGGCACACTCCACTCCACTCCAAATCCTGAGCACAAGGCCCTAGCACTCCCTCCACTCCAACTCCACCTTCCACAATCCTGAGCACAAACTAAGGCCCTACTCCACTCCACTCCACCTCCACCGTCCTTCAATCCATGAGCACAAGGCCCATAGCACTCCAAACTCCAACTCCACCTCCACCGTCTTTCAATCCTTGAGCACAAGGCCCTAGCACTCCACTCCACTTCCACCTCCACCAGTCCACAATCCTGAGCCTAAGGCGCCTAGCACTCCACTCCACTCCACCTCGCACCGGTCCTCAATCCTGAGACACTAAGGCCCTAGCACTCCACTCACCTTTCCACCTCCACCCTCCACAATCCTGAGCACACCTAAGGCCCTAGCACTCCACTCCACTCCACCTCCACCGTCCTTCAATCCTGAGCACAAGGCCCTAGCACTCCACTCCACTCCACCTCCACCCTCCACAATTCCTGAGCAAACTAAGCCCTAGCACTCCACTCCACTCCACGCCTCCAGCACGTCACTCCACCTCCACATCCCATCCTGAGCACAAGGCCCTAGCACTCCACTCACTCCACCGTCCACCGTTCCTTCAATCCTGAGGCACAAGGCCCTAGCACTCCACTCCACTCCACCCTCCAGCCCTCCACAATCCTGAGCACAAACTAAGGCCCTAAGCCACTCCAACTTCCACTCCAACCTCACCTGTCCTTCAATCCTGAGCACAAGGCCCTAGCACTCCACTCCACTCCACCTCCACCGTCCTTCAATCCTGAGCCAAGGCCCTAGCACTCCACTCCACTCCACCTTCCACCCTCCACAATCCTGAGCACAACTAAGGCCCTAGCACTCCACTCCACTCCACCTCCACCGTCCTTCAATCCTGGCACAAGGCCCTAGCACTCCACTCCACTCCACCTCCACCGTCCTTCAATCCTGAGCACAAGGCCCTAGCACTCCACTCCACTCCACCTCCACCGTCCACAATCCTGAGCACAACTAAGGCCCTAGCACTCCACTCCACTCCACCTCCACCGTCCTTCAATCCTGAGCACAAGGCCCTAGCACTCCACTCCACTCCACCTCCACCGTCCACAATCCTGAGCACACCTAAGGCCCTAGCACTCCACTCCACTCCACCTCCACCTCCTCAATCCTACACAAGGCCCTAGCACTCCACTCCACTCCACTCCACATCCTGAGTCCACAATCCTGAGCACAACTAAGCCCTAGCACTCCACTCCACTCCCACCTCCACCGCATATCCTGAGCACAAGGCCCTCCACTCTCCACCTCAACCTCCACCGTCCTTCAATCCTCACAAGCCCCTAGCACTCCACTCACTCCACCTCCACCTTCCACAATCCTGAGACACAAGCCCTAGCACTCCACTCCACCTCCACCTCCCACTAAAGCACCCATCCACTCCAACCGTCCCTGAGCACAATCCCTAGCATTCCACTCCACTCCACCTCCACCGTCCTTCAATCCTGAGCACAAGGCCCTGACTCCACCCACTCCACCTCCACCGTCCTTCAATCCTGGAGCACAAGGCCCTAGCACACTCCACTCCACCTCCACCGTCCTTCAATCCTGAGCACAAGCCCTAGCACTCCACTCCACTCACCTCCACCGTCCTTCAATCCTGATCCACAAGGCCCTAGCACTTCCACTCCCACTACCACCTCCCACCGTCCTTTCAATCCTGAGCACTAAGGCCCTAAGCATCCAACTCCACTCCACTCCACCGTTCCTTCAATCCTTGAGCACAAGGCCCTTAGCACTTCCACTACCACTCACCTCACCGTCCTTCAATCCTTGAGCACAAGGCCCTCAGCACTCCATCTCCGACTTCCACCTCCACCGTCCTTCATTCCTGATGCACAAAGGCCCAGCACTCCAACTCCAACTCCACTCCACCGTCCACAATCACTGAGCACAACTAAGGCCCTAGCACTCCACTTCACTCCCACCTCCACCGTCCTTCAAATCCTGAGCAACAAGGCCCTAGCACTCCACTCAACACTCCACCTTCCACCGTACCTTCAATCCTGACACAAGGCCCTATCAGACTCCACTCCCACTTCCACCTCCACCCGTTCCTTTCAATCCTGAGCACAAAGGCCCCTAGCACTCCAACTCCACTCCAACCTCCACCGTCCTTAACAATCCTGAGCACAGGCCTTAGCACTCCCACTCCACTCCAACCTCACCGTCCTTTCAATCTGAGCACAAGGCCCTAGCCACTCCACTCCACTCCACGCCTCCACCCGTTCCACAATCCTGAGCACAACTAATGGCCCTTAGCACCTCCATCCACTCCACCTCCACCGTCCACAATTCCTGAGCACAAGGCCCTTAGGCACTCCACTCCACCTCCACCGTCCACAAATTCCTGAGCCAAAACCTAAGGGCCCTAGCACATCCACTCCACTTCGCATCCATTCCCATCCCATCCCATCCCGTCCCATCCCATCCTCCCGTCCCATCCCATCCCATCCCATCCCATCCATCCATATTCCCTCCCATCCCATCCCATCCACATCCCAATATCCCATCCCATTCCCATCCCCATCCCATCCATCCCATTCCCATCCCATCCCATCCCCAACCCAATCCCAAAACCCAACCCATTCCCATCCCCAAATAACCCCACAACCACAATTTTAATAATTATTATCATCACACCATACACATTTACTCAACACACAACACATACATACCCATCCCAAAACACCCACACACCCACCCAAGTCGCTAAAGACAAATCAAGAGTAAAGTTTTCTTGCTCAAGGAAAACACTTGTCACCGGCCCGGATTTCGAACAAGCTGAACTCGGGCGGCCGGCGCGCCGAGTCCAAGTTGCTTAAAACCACTAGGCCATCACACTCCACCGAAACATGAAATTATAAGGGTTTATATACTACAGATTCCCTCCTCTGGCATCTTTTTTTTGTAATTTAATTACATTCCATTAGTAGTGCATAGAGCCTGGTTTAGTGTAGGCATCGGTGACTCCTATGTCCCCCCCTTCCTTTCCATGCTGAGAGGAGAGAGAGAGAGAGTGGGGCAGGGGAGATGGAAGAGAGAGGAGAGAGAGAGAGAGAGAAGAAGGGAGGAAGAATCCGGGATTCGGCAGGTTTTCGATCCCACGAGGGTCAAAAATTGCTTGATCGATTTGTCATCAGTATTTATCAATTTTTATTATTAATATCAATTCGTCATTTACCATGCTATCATCACAGTTGTTATTTATTATAATTATTATAATCATTATTTCTTTAATAATATTATTCATCGTTATCAATGTTATTTATCCTTTATCAATTCATCATTCTCATATAATATTTATCTTGACCATTGTTAATCAGTCATTATTATTACCTTTATCATTTACTATTAATCGTTATCATGACCATTATCATATCAATTATATTACTATTAACATTTACCATTTTTGATCAATAATGTGTATATTAACTGTAACACAAGGAGTAAACGCCATATTAAAACGGTATTTTATGCCTATTACACTGAAATATGTACATTCTTTAAAGAAATACACCTTTTTAAATGACCTCTCTTGGCTCTTTCAAAAACCTGTTTTCGTAAAATGTTTAGTAAAGAGAAGGAAAAATCTCCCTACGTTCTTAAACGAAAGAGTTTTGTTTGTTTAAGGTTTAGAATTCTCTCTCTCTCTCTCTCTCTCTCTCTCTCCTCTCTCTCTCTCTCTCTCTCTCTCTCCTCTCTCTCTCTCTCTCTCTCTCTCTCTCTCTCTCTCTCTCTCTCACCGATGATTCCTGATGAATATGTAGAATGCAGACTCGTTTCTTCATTTTTTTCTGTAACATATGGCATTTCTCTCCAATTCGCTACTTTTTACAATCAATCATTGGCTATTTCTTCAACATTTGTCCCACATTAAGGCAAGTTCAGCTGTCAAATTATGATAGTAATAAGTGATAAAGATGAAAATGAAAATTACAATTATTATAGACAATAATAGTTATAACAGTAAAATCAATGATAATAATCATCATAAGCATAATTATGATAACAAAATGATGATACTAATACTAAAACTATAGGAGTTAAGCTACAACAGGTAATAATATTAATCATAATCATTAGTAATCCCTACAAAGATGATATGATAGGAATGATAATAACCGAAATGCTAATAGGAATAAAAGAGAAAGAGTGAGAAAAAGAAGAGTAGAGGAGAAAGAAAATCAACTTATGTAAAAGAGAGGGTGGAGGGAGGATATAATAATAATAATAATAATAATAATAATAATAATAATAATAATAATAATAATAATAATGATGATGATAATGATGATAATAATAATAATAAGAAGAATGATAATGATGGTAATAATAATGACAGTAGTAGAATTTCTACTACTGATAAAGATACAGTTATTATAACTAATGAAGATAACTGATATTAATGATAGTAGTAATACAAAGAATATTGATAATTATAACGATGATGATGATGGTGATGTGATGATAATGATGATATTTAAAAATAATTATGGTGGGGATAGTATATACATTATAAAACAGTATTACTTAAAGAGACTATAATTAAAACGATAATGATATTGCCAGTACTAAAAAAGATTAAAAATAACGGTCAATCTCAATATTTCCCATTTTCTCTGAATCTATCCCTCCCATTCATTCTGAAGATTCACAATGATGCTTAGGATGGGCATAACTATGAGAACAAGAGCA